TGCATTGTTTCTTTCCACTCTATCGACTAATACTCGTGGTCTTTCTCCAATTTGGTGTTGTATTTTTGGATCCCTGATGTTCACCTTTGTGTGATGAGCCAAATTTGTAACAGTAGAAGATGTTTTACTACTAACGACCGTTGTGTGTATTTCGTTGGGTGATGCTTTACATTTTTCACTTAGATCTCGACATTTTTCTAAAAACGAACGCAGTCTGTCCTTGAGAAACGGACTGCTTTTTATCGCCGGCTCCACTTCTTCGAGACGATAATGAAGATCATTGAGGTCACATAAAGAGTCAGAAAAGTATTCATTGCGAACACTGATCGTGTGTGTTGTCTTTTTGTATAAATTTCCTATTAGCTTTTCTCTTGAAAAAGCAAGAAGTGGGAAAGGAAAAATTGAAAATTCGACATACAATTTGACCATATGAATACACGGAACATTGGCCGTTTGATAAGCTTTACACTCACACCAAGTTGTCGTACAAGGTTGTTGAGTTGAACACTTAACAAGTTCATTGGAATGTTTATAGATATTAAAGAGAGTATTAACAACACCACAACTAAGAAAGTGAAGTATAGTTGGTGGTATTATTAAAAGTGCGGTTGTAGTGTCTTGAAATACTTCTCCTTGCAAGTCGGTATCACAGTTTCGACATTGACAAACGATAGTTTTGATAATTTCATCCAGAGGAGTTTCTCTTGATCCTGTTATCAACTTTATGAGTCCGAAAAAACCTTCAATACGATTTGTTGTTCGATCACCCGTTTTTAATTGAACTTCAGATGGTAACCATCTGTTTTTCTGTCTTATTAAGTTCTCAATGACTCTTATTTTATCATTTTTGTTAATTTTAACTATCCCCTTTCTTCTGTCTTCTTTTGTTTCTCCAATAATTTCCAAAAATATTTCGGCATCCTCAATGAGTAAATAGCCAGTTAAAAGATCTGAATCTGACATGGCTTTTTAAATTCTATCTCGTTGTTCTTGATTAATTTCATACCCAGTCAGTTCAATCAACTTTGAGATAAAGTCAACTTCGCTAATTTTCCCATCAATCAATAAATAAAAATCATTTACTATTTTTGCACCTTTTTCAACGCCACTTGTAAATCCCTTCTTATATTTCTCACACAATGAAAGATAGAAATTCCGTTAAATGATGTCTTCGGTGCTTTTGTTTGAGAAAAGCAACGATCACAGTAGACTGAGGTTATATTCACTTTTTTACTTTTCAAAAACTCAAACAAATCAATGAACGATTCGGTAGTGCGATTTCTAAGTATAGAGAAAAACAACACCTTTGTTTTGTTGTGAACATCACTGAATACACCAATAACAAGAGGGAAATTGAAAGTGTTTGTTGCAGCAATATCATCAATAAAGACAAGTGGAGGTATCGAGTTAATATATCTCGTATTAAGGCAATAACAACATTCAAATCTTCCAGTGTCATCTTTGGTTATGTGTGTGGATATATCCCCCAGTGTATTACAATAATCCATTAAACGACTTGCTTGTTCGTAATTCCTTTTGTCATACTCAGCTTTCCCAAAATTTCGAATTTGCTTGGTATTTGCAACAACATCAAGATTAACTCTAACTTTTGCGGGTTTTACACCCATTGCAAACATGATGTTATGGTATGCATTTGTTCTTCAGTAAAGAAATATTTGGATCTTGGTGGTAAATATTCAAATGTGTGATTGTGTTTATCAGTTATAATTATATGAGAGATTGAGGTTTTGTCTTGAGTCAAACTATTCTCGAATTGCTTAAACAATTTTTAAAACAACAACCAATTTTTGAATGTTTTTAGTTGCGTCGGTGTGAAGCGCTGTATATAATGCACATTGAAGATTATTAGCGGTAAACCTTTTTGCGATATTCAACTTCTGAGTTATCGTTTTTGCATCATAAACAAGTCTTTTGAGACCGTCAACAACACAAATTGGAATTTCAACATTCCCATTTGGATCATTATCATTATAAATGATCGTGTTTTCAATTTCCATGTGTTTTTATTGTTCTGGATATATTAGATTTTTAACTTTAATTAAACAAGAAAATCAAAAGGGTTGATACATTTATTATATTTTATTAGACTATAATATATATGTTTTTCACATTTCGAAATTGTGTTCTATAAAAAAATAACATAAAAAACTACAGTTATGGGAAGTAAATTAGAAAATTGTTATTATTTTTTATTATTTTGAAAAACAAAAAATATAAATGTTATATATTAAAATGTTCTATTTTAAGAGGTGGTGGTGGCAAAGGACGGTCCATATATTATTTTTATATTGATTATCTATAGTTTAAATTTGATGTTAAATTTTTATTTTAAAAAGTTACCATATTTTATTTTTTTGAATTGTTTTTCAAATTTGAATGTTGCAAATAATAGTGAAATATATTATTAAAACTACTGTCATTGAATAATTGAAATTTAATTGTTGATATAATTTTCTATTCAAGTTTATCATAAAAGTTGCAATGTCATAAAAATGTTAATTATATAATGTGTTTAAACATAGTGAGACATTAAGAATATCATGAAATAACACCGCGACGTGAATTATTACTGCGAATTGTTATTGGACCAAAAATAATGTTATTGTGGTTTGTAATACATAATAAAAATTTTATCATGTAAAAATATTATATAATATGGCTATGAATTAAGAAGAATATTAATATGTAAAAAACAACTTGAACAACTTAAACTAGAAATTGGATATCTTTTCATAGATTTAAGACCATCTTACTTTATATATATCAATAATATTTGATATTTTTGGACTACAATTATAAATCATAAATTAATTAAAAATATTATTATAATTATTACTGTATTATTTGTTTTTATTTTACCATCGTTAATTTTGTTTTATCAAAATTGATTTGAACGTTATTTTTTATGATAAGTATATTTTACTAATTTTGTTAATGAACGAAATTAATTATTTTTTTCAAAAAAATATTTTATCTAAAATAGATAGTCCTTCAATTCCACAACATCAACAAAAAAATATTTTTAGAAAAATATGGTACTTTAATTCAGCAAAGGTGGGTAATAGCATTTATTTGAAATGTAGATTGTGTTATGAATTACATTGTTTTTTTAATTTTTTTTGCCAAAAAGAAAAAAATAAAGAAAAAAATAACATACCTTGGTGAAACCATTTTCAATACTTTACACCCCGATAGAATTTTTACTGTAATTGATTTAAAAAACAAACAAAAAAAATTATAGTCAAATTCAAAAAACGGACTGATAAACATTCCACTATCAATTAAACATAAAATACTCTAGTTTTTAAATAATCCGTTTTTGGATTAAAAATAGTTTAGACGAAAATATTTCTTATTTAGTCTTAAATTGAAATTGTTTATCAAAGAATATCTTTTTCCTGAGCTTATTTATAATTCTGAAGGTTTTTTGAAGACAAAAAATACGATCATTATTTCTTATTTTCAAAACAAAATTGTCATAATTAAAATATATGTAAATATACAACAAAAATATGTATAAGTTAACTTGTTAAATTTTGAAGTAAAAATAAAAACGTAGTAATTTGAAAGTTGAAATTTAAAAATCATTAAATGTAATTGTAATAAAACAATATCTTTTATTAGTAAATATAATAATTAAATTAATTAATTTTAAATTAACAGCGATATGATTTGTGAAAAAACAATGGTGTTCAAATAAAATCAGTTCAATATGGATAAAAGGGGGCGTGTAAACAAAATAATACATTTCTTATTATTTCAAAAAATTTTGCAAGTTTGATGGCTTTTTGGGATAAATGGTAACAATTAAAAAATTTGGTTAATAAAATTCCTACTAAC